AATCCTGCTAATTCTGTCAGCTGTTCTGATTTTGTCCTTGTCAGCAGATGGACTTACACCTAAAAGAAGAGAAGCTGCTTGAGCACTTGTTTTCTGTTCAAATCCTCCTTTACAGTACGATGAAATGCTACAAGTTCAAGGTGGAAACTCTACATGGAACAATTGCCACACCAAGTCCAGTTGGTGCCGTAGTTCTGGCCAGCCCTCGTCTGGCTTGGCTCAGCTCTGTGGGCACCTGCAGGGTCCCTGGCACCCTTGGCACCATGTGTGTCCTGGAGGCGGCTGTGGCTCCTTCCATGGAGGAGACGAGGCTCAAGCACTGCAGACAAGCACTTCAGCCAGTGCTTCACTCTGCCCCTCCACTCTCTCAAGGACGAGAAAAACCCATCCTTAGAATCACAGAATCGTAGAATCACTGAAGTTGGAAAAGACCTCTATGATCATCAAGTCCAATCATTTTTCCAAACAGGTATGGTCGTGTTCGAGGGTCCCAGGATGAGGGAAGAGACAAGAATCTTGACTCCATGTTTCAGAAGGCTGATTTATTATATTATGATATTATATTTAAATGCTATATTAAAAGAATAGAGAAAATTATACAGACAGAAAGTTAGAAAGGAATAGAAAGGAATGAGTAACAAAATCTTGTGACTGCTCACAACCTCGACACAGGTGGCTGTCATTGGTCATCAAGTAAAAACAATTTCACATGCTGGGTAAACAAGTCTCCAAATCTCCAAATCATATTCCAAAGCAAATAACATGGAGAAGCTGAAGATTTTCAGTTTCTCAGGAGAAAAGATGCTGGCAAAAGGATTTTTCATAAAATATGTCAGTGAAAAACAGGTTCACCACTAAACCGTGTCCCCATGTGCCACATCCACACACCTTTTGAACATTTCCGAGGCTGGAGATTCCACCACTTCCCAGGGCAGCCTGTTCCAAAGCCTGGCCACCCTCTCCAGGAAGCAATTTTCCCTACTATCTAATTCAAAACTCCTCTGGGCACACCTTGAGTCCATTTCCTCTGGGTCCTGTCACTTGTTACCTGGAAGAGGAGACCACCTCCCACCTCATTACAGCTGCCTTCCAGTCCTTCTCCACATGGGATAGCTTCCTGAAGGGCTGGAGGGAAGCTATGCTGACCCAGGGGTGCCTGTGCTGGCACAGGGAGGTCACAGCAGGAGCAGCTGGTTTGATGAAGTGTGTCAGGCTGCACCTGAGCTCCAGGGGAGGACAGCTTGTCTCCAGCTGGGAACATCCCTGTGGAGCCAGGCTGCCACCACATTCTGAGGGCTGCCCATAGCCAGGAGTTCCTTGGCCCAGGTGGGTCCGCACTGTGACCAGACCTGGCTCCACAAAAGGAAGCAAGTGGCTCCGTCCTTCCTTTAGCCTTGATTTATATCCCAAATAACTTTCTGCTACCATTTCATTTCTTTATTGCCACCCTGTCTCATACTCTTTCATAACATCATCATCATCATCCTGCGAGATGAAAGACATGTTCATCTAAGAAAGGGAGTATGCCCACGTTCTTCCACAAGTGCCTGTGTGTGTATGTGCAGCAAAATATAAGATTTTTATAAAGGGGATATTTCCCTTTTAATTGGGTTTTTGTAAAATTGTGTGTTATTTATAGACAAGTTGGCTTACTTTTTTTATAGCCCTCTTTAGCTTTTGAAAAAGTAGTATATTAAAAATATGGGAGTAGGAGACAAAAAAACAAATGTGTCAAAAACCAATTAGAAATGTTTTAACACGAGTAATCCAATCCAATAATTAGTAGTATGCAATACATTTCTTGTGTAGTAGCCTATATCATGAAAGGATGATTTTCATAGAGATTTATTGGCCCTAATAGACCTGTGGGACCTGCCAAACATAAGCCTAGCATCTCTTGAAGGAGGAGTTTACCTTAACTGGGGAAGGGCGCTGTTGAATAAATAAGTGACTGTGACAAGGCAAGGCAGCCCCAACTTCCCTCTTCCAGTCCACAGGGTGGCAATATAGACAACACCTCCGAGCACCTGGGGATCATACTGGCGCTGCTGTCACTGCTACTGTAAGTCCTTCAGAAAAAGGCACAGTGCCTTCCAAGGTCATTAGCCATGCTATTACACTGATAAAAACATTTGAGCTAGATGGCAGACCAGCGTATTTGCTTCTGCAAATATTTAACAACTGATAGATAACTTACAACCACTGGCACCTTGCATTACCAGAGAAAAATAAAATTCTTCTAAAAGAGAATTTTCTCAATGTAAGGCAATCAGGACTGTATTTTTTGGATTCTGATAGAAGCTGCTTGCTCATGAAACTTAGAAGAGAGAAATTTTCAGTAGTCCAGTTGCCACGTGACCACAACTAGATGTATTAATTGAACTAAATAAGAGATATAACATGAACACAGTGTTGCAGTTGACACAACAGAAGGAAGGAATGCCATCCATGGAGGCCTGGACAAGCTTGAGAAGTGGGCATATGAGAGCATAATAGGGTTCAACCAGTCCAAGTGAAAGGTGCTGCACCTGGATCAGGGCAATCCCAAGCACAAATACAGGCTGGGTGACTAATGGACTGGGAGCACTCCTGCAGAGGAGGACTGTAGGGATGTTGATGGACAACAACCTGGATGTGAGCCAACAATGTGCATTTACAGCCCAGGAGATGAATCAACCAAATTCTGCATCAAAAAAAGTGTGATCAGCAAGCCAAGGGAGGTGATTCTCCCCTGTACTCTGCACTCGTGGGTCTTCACCTGGAGCACTGCATCCAGCTCTGGGGCACTCTGCACAAGGAAGATGTGGACCTGCTGGAGCAAGTCCAGAGGTGTCCACAAAGATGATCAGAGAGCTGGAGCACCTCTCCTCTGAAGACAGGCTGAGAGAGTTGGGGCTGTTGAGCTTGGAGAAGGGCAGGCTCCAGGGAGACCTTAGAGCACCTTCCAGTCAGTACCTAAAGGGTCTACAAAGAAGCCAGAAGGGGACTTTTGACAGGGCATGCAGTGATAGGACAAGTGGCAATGTCTTCGAAAATGAAGAGAGTAGGTTTAGATTAGATAATAGGAAGAAAATCTTCACTGCAAAGGTGGCAAGGCACTGGGACAGGTTGCACAGAGAAGTGGTGGATGACCCATCCACAAGCTGGGTGGGGACTTTGAGCAGCTTGGTCTAGTGGAATGTCCCCCTGCCAGTGGCTGGGAGTTTGGAACTAAATGACCTTTAAGGTCCCTTCCAAAGCATTCTATGGTTCTATGATGACTCTGGGAACAAAGAACTAAGTAAAAATCTAATTATGATAGTAAGCTGTGCTTGAAAGAAGAAATGGTGGTCTAAGGGGAGGTTGCTAAGGCAGATCCTGAAGGATCAGTTTAAGAACAATGTTTTGTTATTCTCCTACTAATGACTAAGGACAAAAAATAGTAGCATGGTAATTAAATGTTCCTGACACATTCTCAGAAGGACTGGGAATGCTGTAATAGTATCAGTCAGGAAGAGCTGTGCAGCTCAATGCACTGGAGTAGCAGAAACAGAGTGAAATTGAACATATGCTTTCAGCAACTTAGAAAAGAGACTTCTGCCACAAGCTAGGAAATCCTTAGTTGGAATCAGTAAAGGAGAAGAAAGTTGCTGCTCCAGTGGTTAATCAGGAGATAGCACATCCACAGACCTGACAGGGTCATGAGAAAGGCAAGTGCTATCACTAGGCAGACTGAGACACTTTTCAAGTCACTTTAGGGAAATATTAGTGCCTATTGCAAAACCCAGGGAAAATCCATATGGGCTACTGTATACAGTTGTCCATGTGAAGGATGAAGATTTCTCTTTTTTTGTAACTTTTCTATCCAAAAATATTGAACAGCCTTTGGAATCAACTTTGAACACGGGAAGATTGCAAAAGGATGCTACAATGCATTCACCTTTTTTTTTTTCCAGGGGCTGGACTTACAAGATCTCTCCTAGTTCTTTACAACACGGTAAGGTTGCAAAGGGATGCTACGAAGCATTCACCTCTTTTTCCAGGGGCTGGACTTACAAGATCTCTCCTAGTTCTTTACTTTGGCCACCCTGTGTCACTGCATACAATGAGCCTGCAGCTGACAACATGTCTTATTACACATGCAGTGTTAGATTTTATATATAGTCTTCAGTGACAAGTAATTTATCTTTTGAAAACAACAATGTTCAAAGGGAGCAGTGTTGTTATGATTGTGCTGAAATAACGAGGATAGGAGTAGTATCTGTGATATTTGCTAACCAGTGGGGTTTTTTTTTATTTTTGAGCACTATATCTAGGGTCACTGAAAAGGTGAAGGGACCTTTGGTTTCAGGCCCATTTATAAAAAAGACATGTTCTTCAGACCTTGTTCTGTACTGATTAGAGGTGTTGGGGTAAGCAGATTATGCTTATGACTTTAAAGGTCAGATTTTATAATCCCTTTCGTATTCCATCATTTTGGTCAGAGCTTTTAGTAGGGTACAATCTGTTACAGAGGAACATTTATTATGAAACATACAATTTTGTAGGCATACACAATTGGAAATGGAACGTGATGGTGAGTCACAATCAGTTTATCTTCCTGATAAAAAATGATATGACATCTCCATATTTAGTCTGAGGCCAGTGGAATCCTACTATTCCTCATTTGCTAGGGCTATATTTGTATTTAAGTGAGTTTAAACAGGGGAGTGGCAAGGGGTGTTACATATCCTTATAGGTGATTAGGGTTTATAGCCAAATTATCTCCTGAATTACATTAGCTGAAATCAATGTATTCTACTGGACGAACAGACTGTTCCATAAAACCTTGGCAGATAAAGCATTAATAAGTGTCAGAGCTGACTTGGTCAATTGAATGATTTGCTGACGCTTCTTTTTACCACAAGCCTGCACTTACAAGTCCAGTGCCAAAGGTTCAGTATATATAGCTGAAGACAGCAAATAGATGCTCTCTTTTTGAGCAGGGTTCTGACAAGCTGCCTTTCTCATTATCCCTCACTGGCAGCATTTTCAGGCAGGAAATTTAAAACATGGTAAAGCTGAAGCTGCCCAATCCTGGCCTGGAGGACAGGATACCTTCCCATGCTGAACTTGAGGTCCTTGAGAAAGAAGAGGCAGACTCCAGACCAAAATGGGACAACAAGGCACAGTATATGCTGACGTGTGTAGGGTTTTGTGTGGGCTTAGGAAATGTCTGGAGGTTCCCGTATCTCTGTCAGAGCCATGGAGGAGGTATGTCTTTAACACATCTTAACTAACTTTGGGTATAAACCAGGTTAAATCTCTCTTTTGGTAAGCAAATAATGGAATATGTTTAGAACTGTTCAGGTCCTGAGAGAACGGTGATGGTCTCTCTAGAAGAACTGCATAACAGAGAAGGTAATTTCACAGGTCATGATCACACACTGAAGTCTCTTTCTTCCACTACTGATGGAAGAAAAGGAAGGGTCTGTTTTTATTTCAGGACATGGACTGAACAAGTGAATCTTCCACTGTCATGTACATAGTTTAGTTTCTCAATCTAAACCCAATGTTGCTTTCCATACGTACATATATATAGCATGTATCTAAACTATTAATAAACTACTTGGGACTATGATTCTGCTCATGATACCAAATGATCTTTTTATAATAGGTTTTTCATTGGGCTTGGACTGATCTATATATCACCTATAGAGTCAGTGTTTGTATACTTTGTGCTAGTATTAACAGCATGAATGAAGTTAATATTAAAAATATTTCTTTAGCAGTTGGTGTTATTAAGTAATTTAAAATCCAAGCATATATTATTTACCATATAATTTACTGGAACTCCTTATGGTTTACGTAAGGACTAAATTACCATGTTAGAAATTTTGTTTTCTATTGCTGTTTGTTTTGAAAGGTAACTTTGAGCTGAACCATTGCTTAATTATACGACAACATACATTTTTCATTTTCTTTCTGACTTTTTTGTCTGCTATCTGGTTATTGTCATTTTTCTCTCTGGGATATGTGTAAAATGTATTTGTTCCTTTGTAATATTTGGTTTTGAAAGAAAAATTTTGGCTTAAGGAACAGTATTTCAAATTAATATTGTTTTACGTGTACATGGTGAGATATTTAAAAATTGCTTTCCTTGTTAGAGTAGGGACAACTGAGGGCTCTGTAGGGAGTTGCTCACACAGACTCAGGACATGTAACAACACGTGCAACAACAGGTGCAAGAAGAGATGCTTTTATTATTAAGATTTCTCTAACGTGGGCTGATATTTAAAGTTTGCAGTGCAAACTGGAGGTCATTTGCAGCAGAGTCATCTTGTAGCAAAAAAGTTACAGCACACACACAATCAGAAGTGTTTCTATATTTGACATTTTTAATTTGAAAAAAAGTGGATATATATCTCCAGAACTGATGGCACTCATTTTCTTCTCAGGTTTTTAAACTTAGTTTAAGAAAGTGGACATGCCCTGTTTTCCAGGATACATTTATAGGCACTTCCTTGCTTTTTGGTCTTTTTGGTCCCTGTGTTCTACTCACATGAAATGCAGCTGAAAAGCAAGCACCCAACTAATGCAAAGAACTTGGTACGGATCATGGTTTTATCACTGATGTCAGTGAAGATTTATGAATTGCTTGTGTGTATGTGTGAGTCCTCTGGCAGCAATTAACTTTCTTTCTCATCATCCTGTAAATCGTTCTTTCTCAGGAAACACTGTCAGGAACACTGACAGCAGTTAACCCTGGGTTTTTTTTCCCCTGGGACTCTCTCACTCAAATTTTAGACAAAATTTGAAAGGGAGCACACAGCAAAGGAATTATAAGCTAATACACAGTGTCCTTCTAGCTAGACTTGCTACCTTCTCTAATATTCTTCTGCACAGCACCAAATGCCGTGACACATATCAAAGAACACAAGTAATGCCTTCCTGTGACTTCTTAGAAAGGATTCCCTAATTTCATCACACATAAGAATGGAGAGCTTCTGTGCAATCCCTCCTCCTCCTCCTCCTCCTCCTCCTCCTCCTATATTTAATGTTTAAACCATTGATTAAAAAAAGTCTCTAACTCTACGGCTCGCATATGGAAACCTTGCCACTGCATGAGGGAGAACTTTTTTATCTCTCTGCGTGGCACACTGAAAGAAGGGACAGTAATGACGTCAGCAATTCCTCACTTAGCAGCTGATGAAATAACATGTTGCTAGAGTTGAGGTCTAAGAATATGTTGGTGTAGTAAAACATCTCCATCTAAAGTCTTCCTGCCTTCCCTTTGTGATGAACTGTGTGCAAGCAATAATGATTTTTTAAAATTTGACATAAGCAGCTCTTAGAGAGGAAATGACATCTATACAGATGTTCAAACCAAATATTATTTGTTTTGAAATACAGTATTGAAACAGGATGAGAATCTAATAGCTCAGCTGTAAGGTTTTCAGACTAGAATATCAATCATTGTTTGTGTACATATATACAGTGTCTGTTTTCAGATCATTGGTTCATTTGTTAGGATCATAAAATCATGGCAGCTTAAAAAGTATTTGTTTATTTTTTTGTGTCCCATGTGAAGCTGAAAGTGTTCTAAAGGTGTGTGGGTGTGGCACCTGGGGACAGGGTGTAGTGGTGAGCACTGTGGTTAGTGCTTGGACTCCAAGATCTTAGAGGTCTTTTCCAACCATAATGATATGATCCTATATGGCAGCTTTGCCAAGCCAAATTATTATTTTTCCATTGTAGCTTCTTTCAGAAAGGTTGGGGAGAAATTGAGAGAAAGGGAAAATGCAGCAGAGATGGATTTCTGAGCTGGCTGCTAGAATTGAACCCTGGAAACCAAAGAACTCAAGAAAGAGAAAAGAAATGTCGTATATCATTGAGAGCTATAATTTTATTTCTCTTGAAAATACAACAATATTCCTACAGCTAAATATTGGTAGTTTCAAATACATAAAATGCTGTTCAAAATGCTGAGTCCTTTGTGGCACGTGCCACACATCAGGGTGAATGACTAGTCACTGAAGAGTGATTAGTGCACCAGAAAAGATATTTTTATTGAAGCCAGTTGCCAAGCGTAGCTCTGAAGACATGGTATTCTCAGACTTCTATACAGCATATAATTTAGCCACACACAAAAATCCTTCTTACCAAAAAGTTATCAGTTTTTAAAATCAGTGTGGTTCATTTTGCTTGCATTAAAAGGTAGTTACTACTGTAAAAATGTAGACTGACAAACTGAAAACATTTCAGAGGAAAGCCAGAAGAAAAACTGAGACATACTTTTTGTTAGTCAAAGACTGAAGGACTCATTATGATTTATTTGTAGAGATGTTTGTTAAATTTCCAACTTTGCTGACTGTTTCTCTGTGTCAGTCTGTCTCTTCAGGAAAAGGATTACGTGGACATCATCTCCAAGGAGAAGAGTGTCTCATTTATTTTCATCCTCACTTCTCCCATCTCAGCTACATCCCTTCTCAGGAGACCATTTAGTCCTTGCAAGAACAGCCTTGCATTAGTGTGGAGCAGCTCTGTGGTAGATCTAGGAGCCTCAGGCTGCTGCTGCCTCACTTTGGAGAAAAGTGGCTGTTTTGTCATGCCAGGAAAGAGTGAACTATGATGATCCACCCGAGTTTTGAGGAAAGTGAGCTGCTCTAGTTGCAGATTCAAATTTAGCATTGTGGTCTTAGTTGAGATATTGTTACAAATGGTGTCAGTGCTAAAGCAGGCAATTCCTGACTCAGGTCTTTCTGTCTGTATTTTCATGTCACAAACCTATGAGACATATAGGGCTTATTCCAATTTTTGAGTACCTAAAATTTCTTCCAAAACAAGGTTCTTTTCTCTGTTTCCCACCACTCCAGGGACTTCTACAAAGTTGCTGACTGCAGGAGCTACTACTGTCAGATACAACAGGGCAGCCCTCTCTCCATGCTTTGTTGATTGCCACCTGAAATGGCAATGGACTCCTCATCCACCTGTGCCTGGCATCACTGCTGACAGTGCAAAGGTTTTGCCCATGCTGGCAGAAGTTCTGGGACTAAATGAAACTGTGTCAGACACAGTCACTGCGGAGAACTGACTGTCTGTCCTTTCAGTTTCTAAAGGCTTGTCCCATTTTCTCTTTATGGACTTCCTTAGCTGTGCTGGAACATGCAGTGGTGTGCACGTAAGGGCCCCTGTTCACCTGATAAGACATGCAGCGCATGCAAATTTGGCTTCACATAGTTTGTTTTCTGCTGATTCTCCACCCTCTTTCTGTGAATAACACTTCTCATAACTGTTTTACTTTTGTTTTAGTAAGCAAGATTTTTGCAGTGTATGCAATGAGAGCTCCCTCACTCTTGCATTCCATGCCCTTGCATCCTGATGGCTTCCTTTCCTCATGGAAGAGAAACCATCCTCCCCCTCCTGATGGGAGGCTCAGTAGCACAACTTCCACACATGGAGTCTGGCCATTCACAAAGACAGGAATTGCTTGCACTGCATGGAAGTGCAAGCAGCCACAAATGTGCCCTGTGCTGCAGCCCCAGGTCAGCCTGACACAGTTTCCTTTGTGTCACACTGACCAGGAGCTCTCATGAGGGTAAGATCAGAGGACACAATCATTGTGTTTATACCAGCAGTTTAAAATACCAGAGTATTCTCTCTGCCTCAAGCAAGACACCTCATAAAAGTCTGAAACCTGACCCTGCAGAGTTTGTGTGGATGCCTCATCTGGACCTTTTCTTGTTACCTGCTCTTTCAGATGCCGTATGGGTCTCTGCTATACCACATTCTCAATTCTCTCTGATAAAGCTCTTCTTGAACAATGGTAACACTTAAGTCCAGAAGATGGATCTGTACAGCTACCTGATCCAAACACTCCCCATTTGCACGGAGGATAAGTCCTTGTCACCCTTTGAAACTCAGCTTGCAGTGACTTTAGATCACGCCTTGATACTTAAGCATGGAGTGGCAGTTAGTTCAGCTGAGGTGCTCCTAATGGAGACACATCACCTTTTTTGGTCAGGTCACAGCAAGATCACTTGAGGACTTGATTGGAAATTATGTCCTTGGTCAAAGATCTTATTGAAGAAGGAAATGTACAACCTTTATACTCTTTTGAAACTATGACCAATTGCTCCTTATCATACCTGTCAAAGAAAAAATCTTTTTGATAGCTATCATCCCTGTTGGCAGAAGGGGGAGAAGATCAGGCTGTTTCTAATGAGCTTTAGAAAGTATTCAAAGGTAGTCTGAACCTTTAGCTTTCTGCAGACAGCAGGCAGACTGATATTCTGATTTAGGATCCATTTTTTCTCACTAATCTAAAGTGCACAGTTCACCTCCACTCACACAGTTCTAGCAGTCTGGGCAGTCATGGCTTTCCCTCCAAGACAGGAAGACTCAGCAGCAGCACAGTCCCAACACCACAGCTCTCCCTGTCAACAGCACAGTGTGTAAAGTTTGCTGAAGGACTCTCAGAGTTGAACCATCTTCTGTGGTGGACATGGCAAAGTGTTCTACCAGCCTCAGGGGATTTCCTCCAGATGCTTACGGAGTTCCCTTTATTAAGATGCTGTGGAAGAAGTCTTTAAGTACAACATATCTATGACAGAGCAGTCAGATAAATGGGTCCCGTGACTGTCTTTGCACACGCACAAAAAGAGGAAAGGAAAAAAACTAAAAAGGTGTGGTGTGTGCTTACAGCTCATCAGCTTTCTTGATAGCTTGGAATTCCCAGGAAGTAAATTTCAGTTTCTGAAAAGGTTTTCATTCTTCAGATTTCCTCTTTCATTTGCTATCTGATTTTCATTGCACACATGAAGAGAAAGTCAGTAAATACCCAGAACTGAACTCTTCGCATTCTGGTCTGCATTCTTTTCATTGCTTTCAGATTAATTGCTCCTATTTAGATTAGGAAGATAAAGCCATTTTGTAATGACAGATAACCATAATTCTAACATGTATCAATATTCAAGCATTTGACTCTGCACTTTTACAGTGCAGTGTTGTGTTCTGTGTTACCTCCCATATCCAAGGTACACCTTGTTCAGGAAAAAAATTACTTAAGAATACTTGTCCTATACTAACCAACTTTATCGTCATTAACAGGGTTTGAACCCTGTACTTCAGATGTCTTCTAATCAAACAACAACATTTTTGAACACAGATGCCAAGAACTTATTGTTGTTTCAGGCAGACAGCCCAAGGCTCCTGCCAAATATTTAGGGGTACTTTGCTTAGTTCATTCAACTGTTTCATATACTTTGCATGAGTCACAGCTATAAAACCACAATTTTTCACAGGAAAAAAAAAAGGAAGTCATTCCAGGAGAGTAGCTACCTTTCCTCCACTTGCAATACAAAGGTGGCTTTTTCAAATTTTAACCCTGAGAGTGTATAATTTCTGTGTGTCACTTGGGAAGAATAAGAATTCCTGCCTGAAACTACAAATGTAACTGAGTGGCCTGCCTGGGCAATCAGGAAAAGCATTGCTCAGAAAACAGGGAAGGGTTTCCACAAAGATGCTTACAGGCTGCTTGCCATGTCAATGTCTCACAAAACTAATGGTTTTGTTTTGTTTTAGTACTTCACTGATTGGAATCGTTATTTTTCTTATCTATTCTAGGGGCCTTCATGATCCCTTTCCTGATTTTGCTAGTCCTGGAGGGCATCCCCCTGCTTCATCTTGAGTTTGCCATTGGTCAAAGGCTGAGGAAAGGCAGTGTGGGTGTATGGAGTTCTATCCACCCTACCCTGAAAGGGGTTGGTAAGTCAAAAAGCCGCCTGAGAAAGCACAACTCTCTCAACTGATGATCTAAAAACCAAATCTACTGGGTTTTATTCTTGTGTGCCATACGAGATTTCAGGATCTATTCGTTTTCCTCTCTTCCTAACTCTCCATTGATAGGTCAAACTAATCATGCTAAAGCACAATGACAATTTTGTATTCACATTCCCAAGTCGCCTGGGTCCTGTTAAAACCTTTCTCCAATCTGAGATCAATTTCAGCCTCAGAGATATTTCCTGTATTATCCATACTGGCTGTTTTTACCATTAGGATAAATCTTTAGGCATGCCAAAAATTGTCCTTTAACTGTTCTGTGGATAAATATTAGTTGAATCTTTATCTGATAGACCTCAGCTCCACCTAGTTTTATTTTTTTGCATCTGAGAGTTGCCATTCCATAAGCCATAGAAACAGTGTTTTGCAGAAAATATTTCTTCACCACTGTACCAAACTTCTGAGTATTCCAACAGTCCATTTGAAAATGTTGCAAAAGCAGCATTATGCACACAACATAAAAATCTCCACAGCTGCCTCCTTACACAGGAAACAGAGGAGGTGCCTCTGAACATCAGGAAACATGGTGAGAGTGCCCAGGGAGGCTCTGGCATCTCCAGCCTCAGAGATACTCAAACCCTTCCTGGACGTGCCCTTCCTGGGCAAGCAACTTTGGGTGGCCAGGCTGGAGCAGGGGGTTGGACCAGGTGACCTCCAGAGATCCCTTCCAACCTCAACCACACACTTGAAAGGGAAGAAACAGGAGGGCTTTGGCATCCACTGCATTTGTAAATCAGTTACGAAAGATAATTGTTCATTGCATCTGGAATTTTTCAAGATTCTTTAGAACGTAGGAGCTCTCAGGAGCTAATGATTAGCATTTACTGTCTGCCAGAGAAGTCATCAGAGGTTGATTACTTGGGAACAGGCAGAGGAAGAGAGATACCAGCGTGAATTCTGTACCTGGTCACAGACTGTGCCTCCTGGCAGCCGTCCATCCTGAACACCACCTCTGCTGACTTTGCAGGGACATTGTGGAAGAAGGAGATATTTCAGTCTCATTTAACCAAAATCCCAAGTCAGTTGAGCTTTACATGTGTCCAGCATCCCAAACTCCCTGGATATCAGCTGGCAAGGCTGTGAACAGGATTGTGTGGTGTCTGTAGGGAATTAGTCCTCTCATAAAGTTGGCTTCTAAGTGGGCATCACCTTCAGTCTCAAAGAGTTTTTAGGATGTAAAACTATGTAGGACTCACTGGTCCAACCTTGAGGCAAAAAATTCACAGTGATAAATCTACATCCAAAATGTAGCAAATTTTTTCCATCCAAAATGAGGAGGGAAAGGTTGAGTTTGATACCATGTACTTTGATATATCTTGAAGACAAGAGTGTTGCAATTTACACAGTGTTCTGATTTTTTTTTTCAGGCATAGCATCAATGTTTGTGTCTTTCCTGGTGGGCTTATATTATAATACTATTATTGCCTGGGTGATGTGGTATTTCTTCAACTCCTTCCAAGAACCCCTGCCATGGAATAACTGTCCTCTCAATGACAACAGAACAGGTATATTTTATAAAATAATCTATTTTGTTGCACAGCACAGATTTCTGTTTCTAACAGTTACCCTAAATGAGCCTTTCTGTGAAATAGCAGTAAGGCATGGCAGTCCTGTCAGGCACATTGCACTATTTGATACTTGTGTTGTGTACAAATTCACATCAAATAAAATGTGGCCAGCACTTAATCTTTGAGGCAAATTTTGGTTTCTTTTATAGAACCTCATGGTAGATTTTGACAGATGTGTTCATATACAGAATATCCACTAAGTGCAGATCTAGTATAAACATTAACATTTTCCAGATTTAAGTAATGACTTTCATCCATCTCTTCAACAGCCCTCCATTAGCACACTGAAAATGAAAAAAAAAAAAAAATAAGCATAATCCATTTGAAACACCTGCACCTCTCAGTATGACGAATCTCCATCTCCTTGGAGACCATTTGGTGACAGCATCTTTGTTCTCCACAGCCAGCCCTGCATGACACTGTGTGAAGCAGGCTTTTCTGCTGGGTCTGTGCACAGCTGCTCAGAGTGCTCTGCCCCTCTCCTCCCAGAAGGAGCATGGAAAGCCTCATATAAGGGCAGGCCAGGGCTGAATATTGCACAGGCCAGCACAGTGCAGGGAGCTGGGGATTCAACTTGAGCTGACAAGACCTTGAACACTGTCCCACAGAACAGAAGAAAAAATATTGCTGAAGGAGGTGTAGGAGGGGAAGAGACACTGTATTAACACACCTGTTAAACAGCTGTCTTTTAAATCTCTCCTTTTGTCATGAAACTACCCTCCAAAAATCTGAAAATTTGCCAACAACAAATCCATTGGCATTAAGTGGAACAATTTAAAACACTGATATTAATTATTTAGCTTCCTTTTTTCCAGGTAAATAAAAGACATACAGAATGACAACCATTTTCTGGTTACAGATTATGTAGAAGAATGTTCCAAGAGCTCTCCTGTAGATTACTTCTGGTACAGAGAGACACTGAACATCTCCACCTCCATTGACGATTCTGGCAGTATCCAGTGGTGGCTATTGCTGTGTTTAACCTGTGCATGGGGTGTGCTGTACGTGTGCACAATCAGAGGCATTGAAACAACAGGAAAGGTACTCTGTCTTGGGGGAACTTCTAATGAGATTATATTAATCATGCTGTTGTGATCCCTTATTTATACAGAATTAATAATGCTGTAGAAGCTGTCTGGTTCTTGAGTGAAAGCATGTCCAAAATTTTGTCTCATCATTGGGACTGCTTTTTGAAGAAGGAAGGTGAATGAAATGGAATCTGACTTGATTTAATTTATGTGGAGAATTTTGTTACCAACTTTTTGTGAGTCTTCCTTGTCCTTACAGGTCCTAGTAACACATTTTTAGGTATTATCACTTTAACACTAATATTAATCTTTAATGCAAGATTAAGGGACTCTCTTTTTATTATTGCTGTTCTCCTCAAAACATACCTATACAGATTTATTTGGGTTTGTGCAAGTCCTAAATATTATCTCTACAAAAGAGTGACCAACATTCTTCTTCCCAACAAAGTCCTGAGAGTCCATCCTTGCATCAGTCTGGTCTCAGGGTGTACATTATTTTTGATGCTGCTTTTGAATGATCTGAGTTGAATTTCAACAATGACAATTTCTCTTAAATAGGCTACTATTGCTAAAAGGTATTTATTATCCAAATGTACCACAAATACTATTTCATTGAACATTTATTACTGTAGTATGCTAATTGTGACTTGAAATTTGCCATTATTGTTAATGAGCAAACCTTGATAATTTCCTATTTTCTTCACTTATAAAAAATAATTCAAGTGTTTTGTTTCATTGGAATGGTTTATTTACTTTTTTTTTTGGTGCAGGCTGTGTATGTGACATCAACTCTCCCGTACTTGGTGCTTACCATTTTCCTGATCCGCGGCTTGACGCTGAAAGGATCAACCAACGGAATTGTGTATCTCTTTACCCCTAATGTAAGCCACTGCTTGGGTCAGGGCTCGGTGAAACATGGTGTAGTCCTCTGTAATTGATAACTGATTGAAAATTAGCTCTCCCCACTGGTGCTTTTCTAACTATCCCTCAGGCACCCTAAAAAACCTTGATTCTGTGAGGTGAATGTTCTGCATTGGATATAAAGAGTATACATGTACACAAATACTTTCTCTCTCCATCCTCCATCAAAAGCTGTTCTAATGAATGATCATCACAGAGCAGTGGGGTTGTCATTTATTTGGCTTGGTTCATTTTCCTGTATTCTACCTAAGAACCAGCTTAAATTTAAGGCATAAATCACGTATTTGGAAGTAGAACCCACCTAATTGCCATATAAACAAAAAACTCTAAGAGAATGGTTTAATTATACAACAGCATTTAAACAAAATTAAAAGAGGGATCATTTTCCATAAGCAGATCTCTGAATGATCATTATGAATGCTAAGTAATAAACACCTTTTCTGAAAACAGGCATGGTAGCTGTCAGCCATGCAGAGCATTTTTTTAATCAATTTTCAAAATATTTACATAAAAACTTCAGATAGGTTTTCTTTTATAAAAAAATTGTAAGTTTGACAAAAATATTGACCTATTTGTTGAATTTCTTCAAGAACAATGAATCTTGCATGGTTAATGTTCTTGTTTTAATTGTTGTTTTAAAACCCTATTTATACTCAGTTTAAATAGCAATGTTGGATGTGCTTAAAGCTGTGTCTCTGATGCCTCAGGTTAGTGAGCTGGCGAACCCAGTGACGTGGCTGGATGCAGGAGCTCAGGTGTTTTACTCCTTCTCCCTGGCTTTTGGAGGCCTCATTTCATTCTCCAGTTACAACTCTGTTCAGTAAGTAGCCGGGCAAAACCCAGATTTTATATGAATATTTCATTGTTTCAAATGAAACATCTCTATTTTGCCCTACTGCTGTGCTACTTGGGACTGGGACAGCCTCCCCTCAGACACGTAAGGTGCATCCCCTCTGACTGCTCCTAGCTCTCCCAAACCAAGATTTCAGGTCCCTGCTCTGGCTGATTTCCTAGAGAAAGATGTGATGATGCAGGATAGGAAGAAGGAGACTGGCTGCCCAGCAGCAGCTGATGAGCAGGAGTTTCCTCTGTGGGATTGCTCGGTGCATGGTGATGCCTTTGGTCTCAGAGCAGGTGGCAAAGAACATACTTCAAATAAATTAACAGAACAAGGCTCAAAATTTAAGCTTTGCAATGAAGAGATATATCTAATCTTGAAATTTAAATTCAATTCCTTTATAGTGTGCTTTGGGGGCAGGAAGTGAAAAATCCCATCGTCCAGAGACTGTCCCAGTCTGCAAATTATGATGCAGTGCTATATTCTACACTCTCCCTCATAAAATATTGCAGCAATCACCAATGCCTCTTGGTGCTTGCCATCCCTTCAGAACTCCTGAAAGGAAAACTGTCTGGCATTCGCTAAATGTAATATTTTTGATAAACATCTCTGAATTAAGTTTTGGATATGTGGTTTGGTCATGCATTCAGAAATTTGTGTTTCAGCTTTGGCTTGGATTCAATTACACCACAGCAGCATTTCAGTCACTGAGGAAGTTCCGTGCCACCACTCTTGATTTCAGGTGTTTTTGAAAAGATCACCTGGAATTTTTGGTGCCTGCAAGTCTCAATGTGAGGTGTCAAGCCCTGCTTAAGGTCCAAGCCAATGTCCCATGGCCATGGGGTCAGAACTGGGAGCATGCACCTTTCCAGAAGACACAAAGAAAAGGAGCAGTATCCTCTGGGTTTTCCAGCACATGGGGCAGTTGCATTCAGGCCATGTTCATTCAATGCTCAATGATTCTTTACTTAAGGAGGGAACTGTACAAAGTCACCAAACTCCCAAGGAATAAATAAAAAATCCCCATGCAAATTCCACAGTGTTACACTGAGGTGTTGGGCCACCTGCAATCCAGCACCAGCTGAACCGGGTGTCAGTGAGTCTGCCCCTGGATGGTTTGGGAGTACAAAAACATCAGAAAATACAATAAGGTTTCAATGCTGTCAAGGATTCACTAACTCATAATGAGAAGGAGCTTGAGCACCTGACTTTCTTTAAAAGGAAGAAATGTTTTTCAAGCCTGTCATTGAGAATCTCATGTTACATTGCAAAAACTGACACAAGACTACAGCAAGGAATTTCCATTCAATGCCCAACATCCAGCAGATGCCTATTTGCAATGCTATAAATGGGGAAAGGACACAATGTGATAGGTCTTGGTTGGACAAGCTTGTCTCTCCTCTTGAACATGTTCAGAAAATTAAATATGACAACATCAAGTTTTTCTCAATACCCCTCTCTTGCCCAGGAGAAATGAATTATCTACAGTTTTACAGCCTTCTCTTACAATGATTAACTAACTTAATATTGATATTTTATCTTGTCCCTTGGATGAAAGTCTGTTTCTGGCTCTGCAAATTCTTTATTTAGCACGGGCACACTGGCAAGAAGTGCCTGCAACAGAGGCGTTTCTACAAAGAATTTTTCTGTCCCAACCTTTCAGCATAACATTACATTGTTCTTCCAAAACTTGGGAATATTTGGAACCGTCTTTTGTCAACAGTCAAACAAAACTGTTCCCAAGTGCTCTTGGCTACTGCAATTTCACCATACCTAAGTGCTATGAAAAGTGAACTTGTGCTCACTTTTCATGTCTGAGTATTTGAGTTCAAGCCCAAACCTTTCACCGTGTAACACAATACACCAGCAGTGAAGGCACATGTTTCTGCACATATCCATGACAAGCCTGAAAAGGAGGGGACTCTTCTGCCCTTCATCCTTTGCTTCCCATGAACCGAACATGAAAACAGCTCGGGCAATTATTCCTTATGAACAGGATTATCAGAAAAGGAAAGAAAACCCCAAAAGAAACCAAACCCATAGCTATTAAATTGCTTAAGGCACCAAGTTTTAATTTACTAAATCTAACAGCACTACTTGTGTACTTTTAGAGGGTTCACTGATGTACCTATGCATCCTAGACTACTTTTTGCTTAGTCTTGGTAGCCAGTTTTACTATTTATTTTAGGAATGTGATTGACATCCATTGTTTCTTCTCTTTGAATTGCAGCAACAACTGTGAGAAAGATGCTTTGATCGTTTCAGTGATCAATGGTTTCACATCCATCTATGCCGCCACCGTCATATACTCCATCATTGGATTCAGAGCCACAGCAAGATATGATGACTGCTTTGACAAGTGAGTTATTGGGAAAAAAAAGCCCACAGAATACACAGGTGTTTGTTTGGCTGAGGCAGCTCTGTTAGCCTGCTGACAATGGATTTATAATTTCTGAATAATTGCAGCTCTTGACTCACATGGCATCAGAACCACTCATTACTTATAAAAATATGGAATCTTGTGGAACAAATCCCATAGAAAATGATAATTGTTTAAGTCACCTTATTTTCTACATAAATGTTGCATAAGCAACTATATTTTACATTATTCTCCATGCTGACATATGGCATGAATGTAATATTCCCTGGTTCTTGTGTTAGCTCCGTGTTTAGGTTTCCTCCTGGAGAGCTCAAAAGCTTAGGTCTCATCAGAGGTGCCTCATTTTACCCGGGCAGTCAGACTCTGTGGTTTCCAGTCTAGTTCCTCCACAGTCAACTGTGAAACTGCATGATTCACAGCTGCAGACAGCTCAGACATTCCCATAAGCCACCCACTCTGGGGACTGGTGTTTAGTCTGCAGTGCTAATACGGGCACTTAAATTCTGCACGGGTTCCTAGAATGTCCATCCATTTAGAGTCATCTATGCCATGAAAGACGGTGTTATATTCACCTTGGAAGAAAGAAAATTGTAGATGCACATCTGGACCTTCCAACTTCAAATCTGATCTTGATATTGTACTCTTAATAACTTGTTTGATGATGTAAATGAATCCTGATGATGCTTACGAATTAATAATTTCAAGTTACTGACATTTCACTTTTTCAGAAATATTCTTACTCTGATGAATGCATTCGATTTGCCAGAAGGTAACGTAACCCAGGATAACTTTGAACAAATGCAGCAGCTGTGCAACAGGACTGATCCAGTAACTTTTGCAACCCTCAAGTTTGAAACCTGTGATCTGGAAACTTTCCTGAATGATGTAAGTTTAACAACCTAACAGATATTGATACCTTAAATATGGTAGGAGTGCATGGCAACTATTTAATTGCCAAGTCTAGTGACTACCAGTGTAAATTTGAGTGATGTTAATGATCCTAAATCTTCCCCAGGGAGCTGAAGGAACTGGCCTAGCCTTTATTGTCTTCACTGAAGCTATCACCAAAATGCCCGTCTCACCTTTGTGGTCCATTCTCTTCTTCATCATGCTCTTCTGCTTGGGTTTGTCATCTATGTTTGGAAATATGGAAGGGGTGCTTGTACCTTTACAAGATCTCAAGATTATACCCCCCAGAGTGCCTAAAGAACTTATAACTGGTAAGTGCATTTTTAGAGAAAAGTGACTTCCCCACCCTCCCCAGGGAGCAGCTTGTGTGCTGAAAAAGCAGCCCAGCCTGCTTCTACCTTCTGATCTGGAATGGTCTTAAGACTGCCAGATAATCTACTGAAGATTTTCTCATGTTCCCCAGTGGGGCAGCCCATGTGAGGTTCCTTCTGAGCCTGCAGGCAGCTGTTAACCCTTAGGCTTGCCCTTCAGCCTGCTCATGATGACCACTATCTCCTCCATTGGGAAGTTGGAGGACCTGAGTCCTTCACCCAGGCAGGATTTCTCTCAGAGCAACATTATCCCATCATCTATGAAGAAGAGGACCTGTTTTCCCTCCTCAGCTTTCTCCCTTTTTGTTTGCAACATCTGCCACCTGTGTAGTGTTAGGAGAGTATTACCCAAACAGAAGCCAGCCTCTCCAGAGTGCTTTAAAAAAAAAAAGAAAGTGGTGGCCTTCAGGCTGCAAGAGTTACTTTTTAAGCCTTACAGCTACTGGGGAAATATTTTTCTTTCCCATTTTGCTTTCTTTGCCTAAGTGTGCTGTTGTTTTTGTTTTTTTTTCCCATAGGTCTCATTTGTTTGGTGTGTTATTTGATAGCTTTCATTTTTGTGCTGAATTCTGGTAATTACTGGCTGAGTCTATTTGATGGTTATGCTGGCTCTATTCCCCTGCTGATAATTGCATTTTGTGAGATGTTTTCAGTCGTCTACATTTATGGAATAGACAGGTATGAAATACAGCTTAACCATTACTTGATCTCAATGGATAAAGCGATTGTTGTATCGCTACAATCTTCCTGCATCTCTGTGCACAGAATTTCTGTTATAGAAATCAATGAAATTATGCAGCCATAATTTATATGTTTCAGGTCTTTTAAAGAGTTCTTAGTGAAAAGAAATAATGTTTGTTGAGAATTTGTATGTGAAATTAATACATTATTATACATTATAATATGTATTATATTATTAATGTATTATAATGAATAATGCTCTTTAACACCTAGTTCAAATAAAGATATCCCTAAGATACTGCAAGAGAATATTAGGCATCAACAAGAGCCCTGGAGTGCATTAATATAGATACAAATAATTTATTTTTAAAGTAGGCATGTAGATATTTGCAACAGTTACATAAGAGCCACTATAGATAATTTACCTTTTAAATATGGTGATATTTATAATAACTCTTCTTCAGGATAATTGCATTAAGCATTTAGTTAGCAGAAGCAAAGTGCACGCACATTGGCACCGAGCTGAAAGTTTAACACAGAGTTATATCTCAGGAGTGTTTACAGGGAGTGCTAAATGGTGCTGTCCAACACAGGGATCTCCAGGCAGGCTGCAGATATTGGTTTACAGCAGCTTGCAAAACCAGGCTACTGAGATACGTTCTTAGCTGATAAATCCAGATCTTTATCAGTTGTAGCAGCGAGTAATTATTCTCTCAACTTTCTACAGATGTAATAAATCAAGTTTCAACATCTTCATGTTTGTAATAAATACAGAAGAAATGTGAAATAAAGTACAGGGAATTCAATCACCCACATGTTTTACTTGAACTTGTGCCAGATTCAGCTGCTGCTCCTGGCAGTGGGGTGAATGCCCTTGTGACCCATTTTCCCATACTTTTATGCTACTCGAGGAAACACAAATCAGGTTAGGTAAATTGGATGGTGTACTCTTGAGAAAGAAGGCTTCTTTTAATTTGTTAAGGACAGAAAAGTCTATGTTGATTACTTTTCCTTCCCTTTAAGATCTCAGAAGTCCTTACAAGAAAATTAAAATAATTCCCAGGACACAAGCATGGGTTGAGTCCATAAAGTGGGGGCAAGGGGTGTGTATGTGTTTGTGTTTGATCCAGATAAAAGCCTCATACCAAATTTTAATGTTCCTGGCCAGTACACACCACTGTAACCCTCTTTGAGAACAAAGCTTTTCAGGGCTACCCAAAAGTGGTGTTATCTGCTCCTGATGAGTTTCTGTGACCTTTCTCTGAGAAAGGGTCATTGGTAGAAAGACTTCTCTGTTGCTTGAAGGAGAACGTGTGTTATCCATGGCACACATGAACTACACCTGAACATATGCTGCAGTCAGGACATGGGGCTCCATATCCTTTTAAGACACCTAGATCTTAGAAGTTAGGGATGGAAATATAAAATAAATTTACATAGTAATTGAGATTCTGGTGGATTCAGTGTGTTGTTCATAGTTGAAGGACCAACTGAATAGTCCCCTCAGGGTTATTCCCATAGGATATGCAGGAAATCCAGACAAAAGGACTAAAGCAGAAATCTCAAACTTCCAAACTATTTTTTAAAGAAATGAGTGCACAAGGTGTTGCATTACATGTAGAAGCCATAAATTGGTTCAGGAATGATGCAGACATTACCACTCTCAATGCAGGGCTTGTTTCTTCTTGTGGAAATATTTTTGCCCCACTGACTGCTGCATGTTCCATGAATAATCCAAATAACACAATGTAGGTGTTTTTAGTAATGTGTAAAGTTAAAAAAAGGTTTCATTATTCAGCCTGAGAAAAATTATAGATATCCAAATTAGGCAAACATTATATTATAATCTAATTATTACATTACTTCTATTTGCTTTTGTTCTTTTTAAATATTGTATCACTCCCTTTAATTTATGCAGTACTGAGATACTTATCAAAAATTGTGAAGCAATACTGCAATATGTTCTGGGGAAAATCGTCTGCAGTGACTCTTTTTTGTTGAAGCTATTTCACATATGCCTCACAGACATCTTCAAGATAGTACATCTCCAAAAATAATTTTCCAGACTTGCAATGATATGTGCCTTAAATTGAACTAGTGAGGTCTAACTCCTGATTCTTGTCAATTCTCGTCTCAAACTGACATTAGCAGATTCCTGGGAACCACAGTAAGGGGTAGTTTGGATTTCCTTGTTTATGAGCAGGCATTCTTTTATCCTGACCAGCTTTTAAGTCTGAACCTCCTGCTTTTTCTTTCTAGGTTTAACAAGGATATTGAGTTCATGATTGGACACAAGCCCAACATTTTCTGGCAGGTTACCTGGAGACTCATCAGTCCCCTCATTATGTTAGTTATCTTTATCTTTTATTTTGTGGTGAAAGTCAACCAAGAACTGCTCTACAGTGTTTGGGACCCTAGCTATGTAAGTGTGTAAACCAAAATATTTATTTATAATTATTTTAAGTATTCTTCTTTAATGTAGGAGTCATTGTCAGTTATATTCATCTTCCATCTGAAACAGTTTTCTAGCAAACTTGCCACAAAACATGGAAACGGGACTGCTTTCTTTTCTCCTCTTTTGCAACCTCACTTCGCTCTTATTGATGTTTCAGTCCTCCCTCACCCTTTGATTTCAGCCTTCCCACAATAAGGCTGATTGGCCATAAGGCCCTGGTGGCCAGTCAGGCCCCCCATGCCCACATTCCTTTGTGCCAAGGAAGTGTTCCAGTCCCCCAGTCTTCTTTCCTGGCTCTTACTGATTTCATGCCATTTTCTTTACATCATTTTAAAGTAAAAATAAGCCCAAAAGAGCTGAGGCTGGAAACCCTTGAGCTGAAAGCTGCCATGGAATTGGCAAACTGTTGTGCCATATGGCCAGCCAGCATTCTGATCACATTTTTGATCTGTTGAATTATTGAATGTGTGCATGGTCCCAGGTATTTGCTCCTGGTGACTTTCTACAACTTGGTTGTTTGCTCTTTCAGGAGGAGTTCCCCAAAACAGAGAAGACTGAATATCCCTCCTGGGTGTATGCTATTATTGTAATCCTCGCTGGAGTGCCCAGTTTGACCATCCCTACCTTTGCCATCTACAAAGCCATCAGGAACCGCTGTCAGAAAAAAAATGATCATGCTGGCCTTATTGCTACATCTGAGACTTCCATTAATGGGAACTTAAAGTATTCATCATAAAACCATTTTTTTTCAAATGTGGAAGGATGCCCTGTCAGTGAGGAAAGTAAAAAAAAATATATTTTTTAAGAATGCAGAGTTAATTTTATTGTCATGAAAGGATAACCATGTGCTGTTTCCAGGTAAATATTTGTGTAACAATGCAATGCACTGTGAAGAGCTGATGGCCTGACTTCTGGAAGCAAAAAAGTGACATTTGCAAGTGATTAGGGCACCAGGCCAAATAATTTGTCCTCTTTTGAGTTCTGAAGCCAGCTTGTTTGAAACTGGCTTCTATCCCCTGTGCTTGGGGATGCACTGTGCATGAAGTGACTCTTCCATGTGTAATCATTCTGGTTGGGTGGCCAATATGAAGGGTAACTTAATGCTGTCCTCTCTTGCACATTCAATTGTTTTTACTTTACATGCCACTGTGTTGCACAAAGCCACTAATATTATTTGTGTCATAGAGAAGTTTAAAATATTTAATAAAAACATTTCTAAGTATAAGAATGACAGCTTGATTCATTTAGAATTCTATATATTTTATAAATTGCCTATAACTTCCAAGTTCCTAGCAGATAGTGCTGCTTTTGCTGATGACACCAGAGGAAATCTTGCAATGGGGCAGCAGCAGCAGCTCAGGAAAGAGCAAAATCTGCCTTCTGTGGCACCCATGAGCAGGGGGTGCACCACTTGCCAGGGGGACCCGTGCTACGGGAGTCCAAGGCACACCAAGGTGCAAATCTTGCTCTCCTCTGTTGTCATCAAGGTGGGTGGCTCTGGTTCATGTACACACACACACACACACACACACACACACCCAGACCTTACAACTATTTGAATGTTTTAACTTCCATGTGACCCAGTGGAGCTCAGTGAGAAGTCCCATTCCTCATGTGGTCACCGGAGAGGGAAAGGGACACTGTTAGAGCACTCAGGCAGAGTGCCTGGAGCAGACAGTGTCCATGTCCCCTCTGGAAGGGTGATCCTCTTCATCCAGCTGTCTGTGTATACGGACAGTGACACTCTTGTATAACCTTGCAGCAATTCCTACACTCACCTTTTGAAACAAGAATGGATCCAATTGCGATCCTCATACTGATTGTAATCGAAACACTCTCTTAAAAGGAATAGGTACACTTAGGGTACATTTACTCCAGAATGTATCTTTAGAGTAGTCTATCTCCTCTAAATTGAGAGTGAAGTGCCAGACATTGCATGTGTACTTCATGGAATCACAGAATCAATGGTTTAGGTTGGAAAAGGACTTGAAGATCATCCAGTTCCAATCCTCCTGCCATAGGCAGGGACACCTCCCACTTGACCAGGTTTCTCCAAGCCCCATCCAACCTGGACATGAAGACTTGCAGGGACGGGGCATCCACAGCTTCTCTGGGCAACCCATTCCAGAGAATCTGAATTATTAAATTAATTCACATTCCATTTTCAACTTTTAAAAATCACATTAATGTAAATAACTATCTAATCTATTTGAAGATGTTACTCTTTAATAGGAAGAACATTTTTTGACAGATTTTTCTGCTGATAAAAAGCTCAGCCACCAGGAACAAGTAACACCCCATGTGAAGTGGCTGACTGCGGTGCCAGGTGTGGAATTCAGGGTGTTGCTGGAAGGGCCCAAGCCCAGCCCAAGGCATCTCCTGATCAGAAGAGCAGCAGGGGAAGGAGTGATGGTGATGTGTGCCCTGGGACCACTGACACTGTGCAAGGGCTGCCAAACCATCCTGTGTGTCCAGCTCGTGTGTGCCCTCTGAGTGAGACAACCCCGACAAGACACTGGGAAGTTGAGTTGCTCCATCTGTGAGAGGTGTAAACAGATGAGCTGTGACAGCCCAGGGAGTATCAGGCACCCTTGATCTCAAACTGGCTTCTGGTTGGATGATCTGCAACCTGATCCCATTTGTGTGCTTAGCTGCAGAGCAGGGCTTGTATTTTGGGGAAAACAATTCACACTCACTTAGAAACTACCCATTTAGAGAGGGGAATCCAGGCATAAACTGTTGATGTACTGAGGCAAGCAAGCTGACTGGCTGCTCTGTTTAGTGTGGAGTGAACTGATTTGGCATGCACACCAGCAAAACCCTGGTATGACTGAAAGAAAACAGAAAAATACTCTCACATACTTTCAATTGAAGGAAAGCATTCAGTTCTTGCATTCATCAGTAACTATTTAATGAATAATAAAAACTGTCACTGGGGATTCATTGACAGGTGGGAAGTGATTAACTTCTAGCAACTATTGTGAAAATGGACTAAATTCTAATGTCTGAACATACAAGGTCTAATTTTTCTTGGCTTTTTTTTCTAATTGACTTTTTGTATTTGGAAAAGATGCCTTCATTTATTTACTTCTATTAATAAACTAAGAAAGAAAATGCCAACGTTTTATTCACAGATTTTTACAGGTATTTTGCAATTTTGATTAGTCCGCTGCAAAAGTTTCTTTTTAATTATATTCATTGTCACACTTCTCTGACAGAGTCTGAGAACATAAGGAACAGAAAATAAAAACCTGTTTGATCCTGAGTTACCCATTAACAACATATTCCCAAGTTGTCTAACTATAGAAGGAGCTGCAAAAAAGGCAAGAGTGGTAACTCTCTATATAATAATAATTCCTGGTTTTGTCTTTAAACAGCAGCCTTGGCAATGACACAGCCCTTTGCATCAGATAAAAAGAAAGCTCCACCTCTCTTCCAAGATCCTTCTGTCACCCTGCATAAAACCTGTAGGAGAGACAGATTTTGAAGCATCTTCCCATTTTTAAGGAAAGGGGCTAAGGAGCCACGGACGTTTCATTAAAATGTCACAAGATTTATCAGCAATACCTGAAACCCCCAAAGAAGATGGCAGACCCAAGTGGGACAATAAGTTCCAGTATCTCTTAAGCTGTATCGGATTTGCCGTTGGCCTGGGGAACGTGTGGCGGTTTCCATACTTGTGTCAGATACACGGAGGCGGTAAGATTGGAACGGGACTTTGCCAAAATACTGAACTGCAATTCTCATGCAACTATACTAACTTCTGAGGGGCATGGGAATTATATAATTTATATCAGTTGTATCCCTTTTTAAAAATGCTGATTGTCATTAATGTTTTGCACCAGTTAATTAGCTCTTTCCATAGGAAGATATTTAATTATAAAATTATATGTTCAGTTAGGAAGACCAGACTGATGCTGACCTGACTGATGATAGAACAAATATATGTTGAAGTTTTTATACTGCTACTACAGTCCCAATGGAAGCAGGAAACTTAACCTGCAGCTGGCTACCTTAAGGAGAAATGAGAAGCCCTGGGGAGGCCTGAGGGAACTGGCCCCTAGACAAATGGCCACTGAACTTCCCTTTGGGATGGTGAGTGAGTCATTCCCCACCCATGATCTTAGGAGGTACCTCATCAGGTGGAATTGCCTCTGAACAAAACTAAATTGTGCTTTTGGTTGTCTGTGAGACTGCTTAAAATGCTCAGCTGATGGAGCAGCAACAGGAGCCTGCCAGGTGTCATGGACAGCTGCCTAAGCCGGTGCCTGGGCATCAGTTCACAAAGAATTGCTTTGGAAGCAGACAATTTGGTAAATATAAATGGATCTGAAAAGAGTACTTGGTAACTCACTGTTCACAGAAGCTTTTGAAATCTGCCACAGTAAGCTGTCTAAAGAAGAGGGAGCAAATTGTTTCAGCCCAGTATTATTAATCTTTCAATTAATTGAAGAAACCGAAAATTCACACCTGGAGAAACTGTCAAGTGACAGAAAATTTTATCACATCCAAGTGTGTTTTACTGAGGTGTCTGTATTTCTTGATGAACTACATATATTTCAATCAAGCAAGGAACCAAGAATTGATATAGCCTGCAAAGGAAGGTGTTTCAGAGAGAAGCAGCCACTTAGGGACTATGGTGAGTAGCTCAATGAATGAGCTATAGCAGGTTGCATCAAGAGAAAGAACCTTGGCAGATGTAAGCAGAACACTAGGAAGTAGACAGAGATATTGCTGCCTATAGTAAGACGACTTCTGAGTCTCTGACTTTTTCTGAAAGTCCACTTTTTAAAGTCAATATTAAAAATTAGACAAAATTTTTTAAGACAAAATGCAGAAAAGTCCCAGCATTTATTCAAGGGTTAGAAAACTTCTGGGACACAAAACAACTCAAGAATTCCATCTATTTAGGCCATGAAGTTGAAAATTAAAGACTATGATTAGCATAGCCTATAAACAAGAAAATGGAAATTATTTTGTGGCAAGGAGCCTTTTAAGGCCGAATATGCAACAACTGAGAGTTACACAAACAGAAATAAGAAAAGACAAGAAGCAGTAGATTAGATTCCTCCCAGGACACTTGATGGTTTCCATTATTTATTTCAAAAATGTGACACCCAGTGAAACTCCCACAGAAAAGCACCATCAGTGGGTGGTTAGAAAGCCAGGACTGCACACTGTTTCTCTGCATTTGTCCAGAGAATGGACAAATTGGGAATTACTGGGAAAAAATCCATCAATTTAGTTAATGATACTGGCATTTATGAGACATGATGAACATCTTTAGAGAGACATCCCCATAGCAGATATGGCATGAGACCTGCAAGGAAAATATTCTTATGCAGCAGGAGCTATAGGTCAAATCTCAGGTGATCTTTCTATCTTGGAAAGCAAGGGGGAAAGTATTCAGGATTAACAAATAACATAATAAAGCAAATACAATGTGATGTTTTTGTAATGTAGTGAATGATTAACACAAAGTGCTCAGTGGAAAGTTTGAAAATCCCAGGCAGGGCCATAGGAAGATGAAGCTCCTCCACACATTTCATTGCACAGAGCAGCTTCTAGAGCCACCAGCTGCAGGAGGCTGTGCATTTGTGCTAAATTGGGATTAAGATTAAATATTGTTCTACTGGCCATAAAAAGGCTCTCACACTTTCCTATGAAGTGCCAATTGTTGCTTCTCCTTGGCCAGCTGTGGCCAGTGGTGTTTCAGATCCCAGCCTCACTTCAGAAGGAAGCAGCGCTCATCTGCTCCTGAGGTTTG